TGTTGAAAGACTAAACGAAAAAAATGTTTTTTAGACAATCAAATGTTCTAGGTAAGTGCAAAGACTTGTTTTTTCTTACTGGTGTAGAAATTAATGACTTTTTTTATTTTTTTCCGGTTATTTTATAATACTGAGCAGACCCGTTGTGTCCCCAGGATCGCCGCCGGAGCCAGGAAGCACTACGTTACTGCAAATAGAGCTGAACCTTAGTCTGCATGGGTGTAGGCTGTGTGATTGCTGAAAATAAATGCTGCTAATATATTTCCTTTTTACAAAGCATATCTAAATAGATCATTGTTTTGATGTTAATCTTTGTAAATTATGTATTACCAATTTTAACATTGGATGTAATTGCATAAAAAGCCTGCATCTCAATCCTGAGAGTCTAGTATTAAATGGAAAAAAAAAAAAAAAAAAAAAAAAAAGTCTTTTTTTCCTACTGGCTGGCTCGGGGGGTTTTTTCTTTGCCCGTGGGCTCTGCGGGGTGGAGCTGGGAAGGGGCTGGAGCAGCAGCTGAGGGTGCTGGGGGGGCTCATCCTGGAGAAAAGGAGGCTCAGGGGGCACCTTCTGGCTCTGGAATTCCCTGACAGGAGGGGGGAGCCGGGTGAGGGTCAGGATCTTCTCCCAGGTAATGACACAGGGGGAGAGGGAACGGCCTCCAGCTGTGCCAGGGGAGGGGCAGGTTGGATATCAGGAGGAATTTCGTCCTGGAAAGGGTTGTTAAGGATTGGAAGGGGCTCCAGGGAGGTTTGGTGTCCCCACCCCTGGCACTGAGTGCTCTGTGTGGGGGCCAAGGTGGGGATGGGGCACAGGGGGGACTGGATGATTGATCCTGGAGGTGTTTTCCAGCCTTCATGACCCTGTGATTCTTTGATTCCACCATCCCATGGCTCTGGGGGTCTGTCCTTGCCCTGGCTTGACCTCCTGCTGTGCTCCAGCTCCAATTCCCTCTCTCCCAAGGCACCCCCCCAGCTCCCAGACATGCCAGGCGGGTGGTGGGTGGCACTTCGGAGGATTTAATCTGCTGCCGGTGGCTCTGGCTGTGCTGCAGAAGCAGCAGGAGGGACAAACAGCAGCGCAAGTCACCGCGTGGGGTTGGAGACGCACGACCACGACCCTGTGTGAGAGGCAGGTTGGGGACAGGACACCATTAAATCCACAAATTCTGTTCCCAGGATACAAACCCCGGTGCCTGACTCTCTCTGGCCATGAAAACGTTGGGTTTGACCCCTAAACTCACCTTCCTTTCAAACCCGAGGCTGCAGCCAAGCCTTGCCAGGGCTATTTAAAAAAAACCAAACAAACAAACTCGAAATACCACCTGGCTTCTTCCCCTCCCGGTGTGACCCCATTTCAAAGCGCAGGAGCAGCTGTGGGTTTCAATCAAACCTCCTCAAGGCGAGGCAAGTAACATTTCCAATTAGGATAAGATGGCCCTCGTCCGAGAGGGAAAAATTCCAGAGGGGGAAGCGAGGACGAGAACAGGATAAAAGGAGAGCGGCTTTGTCCTGCCAGCAGGTCCCGATCCGGGTGCTGACACCTTCAAAAAAATGTTAAAAATCGAAGGCAACCAGGCCCTCCTGCCATCCTGTGGCAGTGGGAGGATTAATGGAAGTTGAATAAGCAGCTGAACCAACCGACCTGGACCATTCCCAGTGCCGTGCCAGCTCCCAGTGCGTGGGGCTGCTCCCCAGCAGCCAAACTGGTGATGTTTCTCCAGGGCTATTCCCGGCGGCAGCCGCCTCATCCCACGCTGTGGAGGAGCCTGGGGCAGCTTCTGCCGGGGTGTGAAGCCTCCCCACGCTGCCGGCCCGGTGTGCCAGCCTGGCTGCCGAGCACCAGCACAGCCCTGGGCACATCCCAGCTGCTCCCACGGGAGCGCTTCCAGTGGGATGAGCCCTCCCAGCCCCACCGATCCGTTCGCACGGGCGGACACGTGAGTCACAACCTTTTATTTCCAGCCTTTTCCCAGTGGAACAAGCTCATTCCCGTGGTCACGACTATGTACAGAGTGCTTGGGGGGGCCACCGGCCGCGGGGGGACAGAGCGGGACACGTGGAGGTGGCAGCGGTGGGCGAGACAGGATGGCACGGAGGGCGACACACGGGGCTGTGAGCGCCGGGCAGGGACAGGGCTCGTCCCCCCGGCCTGGCACGGGCGTGGGCAGCAGCTGAGGAACCGGGAGCAGCTCCCATGGAGGATCCACGGGGCGGTGCCGGGCGGGGGGACACGCGTGGCGCTGGCGGGCAGGGATGCCATGCGGAGGAGCAGCAGTGACAGGCGCAGGGCTGGGTCCCCTGCGAGCCGCCAGCCCCGGAGGTGGTGAAGTCCCCAGGAGGTGGTGAAGTCCTCAGGAGGTGGTGAAGTCCCCGGGAGGTGGTAAAGCCCTGGAAGTGGTGAAGCCACGGCAGGAGGACATCCCCTTCCCGCAGCCGGCACCCGCTCCGCCGGGCTCAGCTGCTTCCCCAGGTCTCCTCCGCCCCCTCACAAAATCAGGGACGTGTAACCAACAGGAACGAGGCCGGTGCTGTTTCCATGGCAGCAGCGGATCCAGTCTTCATCCACGGTGGAGAGCAGCTGCAGGATGTCCCCTTTCTGGAAGCTCAGGTGCCCGTCGGCGGTGCCCGTGTGGTCGCACAGCGCCCGCACTGCCCTGCACCACAATCACCATCGGGCACTCGCCTCCCCACCGACCCCCAGGACCCCCAGGGGCTCCCACAGCACTC